GGGTTTTTTTTTAAATTTTTTTGGCTTGCTTATGCTTTGCATTTGCTGTGTCTTTGTCTTGCCTTTGCCTTGCCTTTGCCTTGCTTTTGCCTTGCCTTTGCCCTAGCTTTGCTTTTCATTCCTGCTCTGCCGTGTCCTGCCCTGCCTAAAAACCCGATTTGGTTTCCACTAGTACGAAAAGACTACAAATTTGTTGTTGATGCAATTGATGGGTTACTTTTATGTTTTTATGTCATGTTACAACGATAAAAACTAATTTATTCGCGTAAATCCAAATTGATTAGGCATGACGAAAAGTTTTTGGATTTGCAGCTTAAACGGCGGCTTTACTGGACAGAAAAGCGGTTGGTAGAAGTATTACTACTGCAGTAAAAACTCATTGCTTGTTATTGTATAGGTTTTTGAGCAGTTTTCAGAATTTTTGGGTTTTGCATCTTCACATAGGTTTAGCTAAGACACTCAGTACTTGGAGGGTTAATTTAATGTGGGATTGAAAAGACTGAGGTGAGGGAGAAGACAACGTTGAGTAAAACTTTCTTAGTATGAGGCATAGGTTTAAATTAGTACAAAACGACAGTACATGTTTATGTATAGAAATTGAAATCTCAAGCTCACTTGTATGTTACGATACTGTAATGTAATGTCTTATGTCATACAGTGCAAACTTCTTTTCATCTACAAAGCTGTTTTTGTTGTATTGTTGAAGATGTGGCATAAGTGGCCAAAAAGTGCATTGTACAATAATTGTAATCATAATTAAGTATCTTGAGAAAATTTTTGTTATACGCCGTAATGTAATCACATAGTTGTTTTTTGGTTAGTAACACAGATTTTCGTATGAAAGAATCTTTTTTTTGACAGAATTTATGATATAGTAATTTTGGTCGTAGATTTATACTTTTAATGCGTATATTCAGTAAAACTAGTAATACTCTTGTATAACCAAGTTCTGTATAAAAAGCTTTATATAACAAACTGTCGACCAATTTGTTAAAATCAGTTTACTTAGTAAGGTATTTGAATAACATTGAACGCTTTACCTAGTGAAATACTCAAGAAAGTGTAAAACTTTTACAGTGTAAACTAACCAAATAAGTATAAAAACTTTACCGAGTAAAATACCCGAATAAAAGCAAAAAAGTAGCAACTAGTGGAGCCCGCTAATCCCGTGTTTTGAATTCGTATTTGCGTCGGGAATTAAGCGAAACGAGTTGGCATTAAAGTCGACTTTATTCAATTGGTCGCGCTCTTTATTGTCATAGGCGTAATGTTACAATCGAGCGATCAATTACGCCATCGCGTGCCATGTCAACCTGTTTTCACGATTTCACGTCGTTATTTAAATCATGCAGGAAGAGGAATAGAGGTGTGGTGGGATTACTCCAGTTTTCCGGAATTGGGCGATTCTGGAGACGGATGAGGGACGGTTTTAGGGGGAATGGAGAGGGTACCTTTGAGTTGAAAGGGGATTTTTGGGCAGTTTTTTATTGTTAACATTATATTAATGTCCTACCTTTTCCCCTGTTTTTGCTCTGCTTTTAGCCTGCTTTTGGCTTGCCTTTGGCTTACTTTTGGCCTGGCGTTGCCCTGCCTTTGCCCTGCTTTTGCCCTGCCTTTGCCCTGTCTTTGCCCTGCCTTGGCCCTCCCTTTTCTCTACCTTTGCCCTGCCTTTGCCTTGCCTTTTCCTTGCCTTTTTCCTGCCTTTTCCCTGTTTTTGCCCTGCCTTTGCCCTACTTTTGCTCTGCCTTTGCTTTGCCTTTGTCCTGCCTTTGCCCTGCCTTTGCCCTGCCTTTGCCCTGTCATTGCCCTGCCTTTGCCCTGCTTTTGTGTTGCATTGCGTTACTATGCCCAGCCTTCCCCTGCCATTAAATTAATTTTTGTTTACAAAACACATTCATCTTTTGCACTGTCAAATTGGTTTGTAAACACATAGTTAATGCGCTCGAAATGAGCTAATTATTAATTTGAAAAACTTGGTGAACATTGAAATTTCTTTTTTGTTTAGTTTCCAAGACAATCCTGGAGACCAATTTTTTTCGAGACGACATCCGAACACGCGACGTTCGTTATGTCACACATCATGCCATTTTTGGGTTTTCAACTTCAGTAATGTCAATGAGATTACATATTACTTACTACAGGGTTTTTGTGGTATAGCTGGTATAGCTACAGTAAATATTACAAAAATTGAAATTTTTTAATACTTTTTAGGAACTTTGATACTGTAAATAAGACCGATCAATGTGTACGTTAAAACACTATGTAGTACGATGTTTTTCTTTTTATTTCCACAAAATAGTTCCTTTTAAATTAGCTTCCTTGTGCTGGAGATTAACGCGTTTTAACATAAAATTAACGTTTTTCATTTCAACTCATTTTGTCTGGACTTAATTTCAAATTATTTGAATTAAATTCTTTCGGAAAATATGTTTTGAAACGAAAAATGGGGTGTTTTGGCAACATTTTGGCTATATTATCAATGTTTTTTGATAAAAAACCTTATTTTTTAAATTTCCTACTGTCTGTCACAAATTTTGTTAACCATAACTTTGCCCGTCCTGCCTTTGCCCTGCCTTTGCCCTGCCTTTGCCCTGCTTTTTCCCTGCTTTTGCCCTGCCTTTGCCCCGCCTTTGCCCTGCCTTTGCCCTGCCTTTGCCTTGCCTTTGCTTTGCCTTTGCCCTGCCTTTGCCCCGTCTTTGCCCTGCTTTTGCCCTGCTTTTGCCCTGCCTTTGCCATGCCTTTGCCCTGCCTTTGCCTTGCCTTTGCCCTGCCTTAGTCCTGCTTTTGCCCTGCTTTTGCCCTGCATTTGCCCTGCCTTTGCCCTGTTTTTGCCCTGCCTTTGCCTTGCTTTTGTACTGCTTTTGCCTTGCCTTTGCTTTGACCTTGGCCTGGTTTTGCTTTGCCCTGCTTTTTGAAGCTTCCTATGAGCCATGGTATTTTACAAAATATTTTAAATTTATATTTTTTAAAAATTAAAAAAAAACGATTATAGGTATTAAATAAACGCTCCAAATCTCCCCTACTTTTTCATTAAAAAATTTTGAAAGCAATTTTATTGTCGTCTCCATTCTGGCTTCATTTTCCCATCGGTGGCCTCGATTTCCCCACGGATTTGGCCCGTCCCTTTGTCTAATGTAAATCCCCCCTGCCCGTGGCCAAGTGACCCATACTCTTGGACACACTCAGCGCTTTTATTACATTTTGCGGCCGAAATTGTTTCGTTTTTGTTTTAATTTTATAAATTATTCATGTTTGCTTGTTTACTCGGTGAATATTGAGTTACGGGACGATAATCGGAAATTGGAGACTTAATAAATAGCCTCAAGGAGGGGAAGTTTGGGCTGTTTTTTTGAGATTTGGGGGATCGTAGTGGTCAGGAGTTTAACTTTTGATTATAATTTAAAAATTTTTTGTGATATATTTATTTAAAATTTTTTTTGTGGAAACTAGGTCATACTGACACATTTTTTTTATATTTTTCCAAAAAGGGCAAAATTTTTTTCAAAAAAATAGTACCACGTGCTCAACCTAGTACCAATTCCAAAAAAGGCATTTAAAACTTAATTTTTTAAAAAGAGTTCCCTGTAGTTATAGTTTTTACAGTACACTGCAGTACCTTACAGTACCAAAAACCCTAATTTCAGTCATCCCAAATTTTCCCATAACTCCTTATAAATATATAATATTGTTGACCTATTTCGGCTCATAATAGACTACATTTTCAAGTATTGTCGAAGCCATTTTTGTTTGGCCCGAAAATTGAATGACCGCTTTTTAAAACCCCAACGGCTATTTAAATATTATTTTTGAGGCTTTAAAAACGCGGCCGCAATAACAACATTGTTGGTCATCTTTTAATTTTGACTTGTCATAATAAGGTGTTGTGGCCTGACTAATGTTAGGTAACGGGTTTTTGTTTTGAGTAATAGTGGCATGTGGCAGATGGTCATTTGTACTATATATACAGGAGTTTTTTAGCATACGTTATTTTTTTTGAAATTTTAATTTTTGGTTTTTAAAAATAATGTTTTTTTCAAAAATGATTTTTTTTAAACACCAAAAAATATTGCTTTAGGATATGTTTATACAATGTTTATTAGTTTCTTTTGCTAAATTTAAAAAACTTTTTTTAAAAAAAAATTTGTAAGGAAACCATGCAAATTGGTTTTCAAAAATTAGTCGAGCATAGGATAAGACGTGTCACTTTTTTGTACAACAAAGAAAAACGTTTTTTACCTTGCATTGTATTGCACTTTGAAGATAATCTACTATAACTAAACTACTAAATCTTTATCTGTAATATGTATATATATAAATAACCAAAAGTCTCTGCTTGTCCGATTTTTTTCTGATATATGCACATTAATATCTCTTTATGTTAAGTAAGTAAAGATACGTTTAAAATTTTGTTTTTTTGTAAAATACAGTGAGCAATCTTTCTTTATACTTTGTTGTTATTCATTTTAGTGGCTATTTCATCGTTATAGGTTATTTTATTGTAATAGCTCAAAAGCTAAGTTACTATAGTAAATTCAAATTTTATAAGAAGAGAAAGTCAGTCAAGTTAGCGTGACAAACATAATTAATTACAATTTGCTATCAAATCCTACTGAATTTTTTAACTTTTGTTTATTTACTGCGGCAAAATTGGGCTTTATCAGAATGAAATTGTTTATTTTTTGATTTTGCAATGTCATCTCTAATTTACTACGAAAAAGTCTGTTTTTTTGTAGTGTATGTTCTAGTACAGTGTAGAGTCATGCTATAAGCTACACGCAAATGCTTTTTTTGAGGATCAGTAGTGCAATACATTGCATTACATTGTCTTTGTTACCATAGTTTACTTTTTAAACCTTTTTTGTAGATTTTATAATCTTTAGTATTAACATTACTATGCGTGATATTTCAAACGTGCACCACATGTTACAAAGTCTTAAATATTATAAATTTATTATTTCCAGTTTCTACTCCCATCTACATGACCAGTATATGAGTCTAAAATGTCACGCGGTGCTGTGTTTATGAACCCATTACACGAAGGCTTTGGCTTTGACCATTCTCCCTTTTATCATCATCATTTCAAACGATTCCCAAGATCAGCATCATGTCATAGTCGGTCGTTGTCACCGCATATGCGACGATGTAGCGTGGATTCGTTGGAAATACCATCAAGTTATGTTCATGTACAGGAAAGTGTTGGCAAAGGTAAGAGCTGTTTTGGTACAGTGTTTTGTTATACACAGGGTTACTATAGTATAATATTAATTTTATGTAAATATAAAATCTAGACATGGAAGTAACTTTTGATTATAAACATAATACGTTTTAGGCTACTTTGGCAACGTATACAAAGGAATATTACGTGACCCAGTAAAAGGTGGATATAATAATGTAGCTATCAAGTCATTGAAAAGTAAGCTATATAACTCAAAATACAGTTGTTATAATACTAAAAGCTATAAGTTTATTATAAAATACGGTTTCTAAAGAAAGTATTAAACCATTACTTTAGATATTATTCAAGATATTTATTTTTGCCAAATTTACAAAATATTACTTTAGGCGAAATCCTGTACGAAAGAGGTAACGTTGATGATTTCCTGAAAGAAGGGTTGATAATGAAGAATCTTGATCATCCAAACATAATCCGACTAATGGGTATATGCTACTCGATCGACGGAATCCCATCGTTAATCATGCCATTCATGAATTATGGTGACTTGAGGTCGTACGTCTCTGATCCACATAGGGTAAGACAAAAGTTTTAAATTTAAAAGAAAATTATTAATGGCAAGAATACTATTTAAAACTAGAGAGGGGAGGAGGATAGGTAGAAAAGGTAAGAAGTTGACAAAAAAAGGTTTTAAAAGGGGTGGGGGTAAGATGGTATTTTATTTTTTTATCAACATATGGTAATGTTTTAATTTTTAAATCTTTGTAGGTTAGGTAGGGTAGTTTTTTCTCTTTGTTTTGTTAACAAAAATATGTTTTTAGACGGTCTGTTTGATCGAAGTTGTTGATTTTTCGCAACAAATTGCAGAAGGTATGACATATCTTTCGTCTATGGGTATTGTTCATCGAGACCTTGCTGCTAGGAATATAATGTGAGTTTTAAATTTAATTTTGTTTTTTAATTAAAAAAATATTTTTTTTTGTAAATTATGTTATCTACCTATCTAACATTTTTTTTATTTTTGAAAATGTTAAAATTTTGGTAAAATACGCATTGCTATTTCAAAAGTTACATATTACTTTCTTTTAGGCTAACCGACTCATATACGATAAAAATAGCCGACTTTGGACTGGCAGTCGACTTGTCTAGAGACTTCGGCCGTCGTGACCATGAAATGTCATCAGCACCGTTAAGACTGGCTCTGAAATGGTTGCCTATTGAAGTGTTGAGGAATCGACGTTGCGTACATTCGAGTGTAGATGTGTGGTCATTTGGAGTGGTCATGTGGGAGTTGTTGACACGAGCTTGCCCACCTTATGAAGAACTATCCAACTCTGATTTGGAGTGGTTTTTGCAGACTGGTAAAAGGTTACATCAGCCTGTGCATTGTCCTAACATATTGTAGGTTTTGATTTTAGGTTTTTTATGAAATTTGGGTTGTTTTGCTGAAAGAAAGTATAATGTTGTTCAAATAATTCTGTGTTTTCTAAGTTAAAAAAGTTTGCTTGGAGGACAGAATTATTTGAACAACCGAATGGTTAAGAAAACGTTTTTTGGCTTTTGTTTTATTCTTAGCTAAATTTTTAATTACATTATAGTAGACTGATCATTTTACGAAGCAAAATTTTTAGATACGATATGATGTTAGCTTGCTGGAGATCAAACCCTGTGTCTAGGCCACGGTTCATTTCTTTGGCCAAACAGCTAGGCACTTTGATGAACGTAAGTTTAATTTAAAATGGACTTTCAGCTTTTCCAAATTAAATTATCAGTTTTACACTTGTATCATACTACAAGATATGTATAAGTACACCTTAGAAATATGCTTCATTATAAAGATATAAACATTACTTTACTTTTAGTGAAGATTTATATTTTAATTAAAATGTTCACATAATTCTGTGCGTTGCATTTTTTTGGAGTTAGAAGCACAGAATTATTTGAACAACTTAATAGTTTGTGAGTTTCGATAAACAATTAATACCAAAATTTTTAGCATGAAATAGAGCACGCCCGTCGCTATGGCAGACAAGGTCTATACTTCCAGAACATACCATGCGGGCAGTTATATACAGACTCATTGCCACTTCGTTACAGTAGTTAGAATAGTTGTATCAACTTTTAAAGTTGTAGTGGACAACAGTTTCTACAGCATTTTATCAGTCTACATTGTACTAAATTTTGAATTGTATAGTACTGTACTATTAAACTTTTTAGTACTGTTACCCACAAATTTCTGCCTACATCTTGCCTTTTCTCTTTCATAATTTGCATATTTTTGGTTTAACGTTCCTGCCAAACTTTGTTCCTATTTAATATTATACTATTGTACAAAGCACGCCTACATTACGGTGAGTATTGTCTGTTCATATTCATGATTCCATTGCAAAAACTCTATGTATTTTTTATGTTTTACAGTATGACATAGTGAGAGTAGTACTGTCTTTAAGCAGGCAACTTGTTTAGGCTATTAATTACAATGTTAAGTTGCTGCAGTAGAGGTGGAGGGCTTGGATTTATACTGCTAGTACTGCAGGTAGAAATGTTAGTGCCGAGGGAAGGAAGCATCATTAGTACTTGAAGTAGTACTATTAGTACTAAAAGTTTTACTATCAGTACTCGGGTATTACTATTTGTACTGGAGGTAGCACTGATAGTATTGATGGTAGTATTAGTAGTACTACCTCAACCGCATTGTTCACTTTTTATTTACAAGCCAATCTTATTACTGTACTGCAACTATCGCAGCCTAACTGTGCACCTAAGTGCTATATCAATTTTGTCATACTGTTTCTTTGACTACCAGCTCAGTTGTTTCTTCCTTTTTTTTATTTTATAATTTGTTGCATTTTAAAATGTTTAGTTATTATGTTCCATAAGTATTATATACAAAAAATCCTGTTTTGTTTAAATACAATATAAAATAGTTTAGTATTTTGCAATTGATCTTGTAAATAACATTGATTTTATTGAATAAACACTCGGTTATTATAAAAATAATGTTTTGATATAAACTAACTATTTGGAGGTAAAGAGAAGATCAATACAGAAGTATGTACAAAAAAAGAACAAGTAAAATGAGCTGTTAAATTATAAAACAAAATAAAAAAAAAAATGAGCTAATAATATTCTTAAAAAAGGCTAAATATAACAGTTAATATGTGATTGAAGAATAATAATCAAAAACTTTTTACAGTAAAACCCATTTAGTATAATTCACGATAATATTCTATCTTTTTTAAAATAATAACTTACTGAATGTCATACTGAAGAGGTTTGACTGTATATTTAAGATAATAATATAAATTTTTTTAAGTTTTACAAAAAAGAAGCTTAGCGTATTTTACAAATGATTCTACAGTAGCAATTTAGGCCATCACGCCATAAGGAGATTTAGTGGTTTGAACTTGTTTTTGCTCAACGTCCTCACCTGTTGCTTTAGCATTTGATGTCGCAACCAGACCAATGTAAACTACTTTTAAAATGTGTAGAAGAAGTGATGCACATACTAATGAACCCAAAATCCATAATTGGGTTGTGAAGATTACAGTACCTAAAATGTATTAAGTACTAATTTTAAAATCTTGTAATTATTCTCCATCTCTTACTCCGTAAAACAATCTAAAAAATTATTTTTCTAAATTTCAAAAAAAATTTTATATAATTAACCTACCATGAACATGCTCAGCCACCAGATAAGCAACTCCATTTAGGATCAAACCATCGTTTATAACTCGAACAACACTGACAATTCTCAATATATTCAAGCCGTTTGATTGCAATCTTGATGCTACAAAAGTGGCTAAAGAGATCACCACCAGTACCATAAAGTAAAATTTCATTCCAACATGAGGAGCAAGTACTGCTGAAGCTACATCAATCAGAGCGCTAGTGAAGGTTATTAGCAGGAGGGTTGGCTGAAAATGTTAATTTAGTTTGTTTATCTAATTTGTGAAGATTTAACATTACTATAACTTTCAGAATCAAGCATACAATCAAATTTAGATAAGCTACTGTATTTTAATCTTTTGAACGCTTCATATCTAAGTTTTGATTACTTTGTTTTAATGATCAGTTTTCTTTTTTAGCTAATATCAATCTTCCAAAGTTCATCGAAGAAACCGATGATTTGTATGCTCTATTTTCACCCTTTTGTAGCGGGCCCGCTATTCTGGTCAACATTTGTTAAACTCTAGTATTTCATCGACAAAAGCTCAATATTGTCACGGGAACAAAACTACCATCGACGCCCAATTTTACTGTAAAAAAAGATCAATGACAGCCTTTTGTTGATAAGAATTCGAAAAAAATATGGTTTGGAAATACTTGTTGATACAGTAGTTTGTTATTCAAGTTTTAAGTTTTTAATCAAAACTTTTTTTGAAAAAAACATAAAAAAAAAACAAAATGACTTAAGTTCAAACTTAAGTTGTCGATGATATCGAGGCTTATTTAAAACTAATTTTTAATTTATACTATTGTTATTAAGTTCCAAGGACTTTAAATTAACAGTATTAACTTATAAGTATGTTAATATGAAATTGAAGTATTATGTGCCATATTAAAGTCACTTTTCTACCTCTTACAAGTATATTATTAAAAAACCTCACAAAGATATAACGTTTCTAACACTTCTGATCTCTGCCCGATAAGATTAATGATTTTACTCTTACTTTCCTACGTCAACGCGGTAAAGTAAAATTGCGATGATTTATATGTCATTCTGGGTTTTTCGTGGTCATTCAAGTTTTCGAGTCAAAAAAGTGAGATTTCAAAATACTAAAAATGAAAAAAGTAAGTGAGTCCGACAGTAAAAGTGATAACTAAAGCTTAGTAAAAGCAATAGTTATGGTTTGAGGCGCCCATAAGATAGATAAATACTTGTACAGTAAAACCGCTTTAGTAATAGTCTCAATTTTGCGATATCCTCTTTTTAATGTCAACTTTTTGACCATCTTTGTAAAAGAATCCATATCAAAAAGTACCAGGGTATTGTAATATCCTTGTTATAAAGAAAGGTTTAGACCAGTGCTTTGAGCGAAATACTAAAAAGTATAAAATTTTGAACGTGAAAGTACCTATTTAGGCTTTGTAATTTAACAAGACCACGTTTTTTACATAATTAATCATTTTAGATCTATTCTCTCCTTTCTTTCTCTTTTCTTCTAAAATGCCAGCTCAGAAGCCTTAAAATTTTGAGGCAAAACCTCAAATCTACAATATTAAAAATAGTGATTGACTATAAATTCAAAAAATTGATATCAATATGTAAAAACATGGCCACATATATTTAACGATAAGCTAAACTTTCAAATAATACTACTACTTTACTATTATATAAAAAGCAACCAAAAATTAAAAAAAACTTACAGTTTCATACTTCATTTTCTCCCAAATTGCTAATTGCAAGAAGCCTAATGATAGAGTAATAGCGAATACGCAGTAATCGTTTGACTTTTATATTTTTCAGCGATCCCAAAATTGATTGACGAAAGTTCACCGATAATAAATAGAAAACCTTTGAGAAAGGCAATTAATTACAAAACCGTCGATCAGAATAGCAAAACTATATATATTACTTGGGTTTTTACATTTACAACAAACAAAATATTTTTTTAATCAACATACCCTACCCTACCCTACCCTACCATTTCCCATCCGTGCAATTTTTCAATTTACTCAAGAAAAAGAACTTTACTGTTACCATAACGCTACGATCGGTTATACAGTTGTCACTCAAACCCGAGACTTCTGTTAACAATAAAGCGAGCGAAGGGACAGACTTTGCAAATCTCACGAAAACTTATGGTGTTTCGCATAACCGAAACAAATGCCAGAGGGCTATTGTTCAGGCTTTCAATCAAAAAATGCCACAAACTGTGTGGATCATAAGTTCTAGTTAAAAATGGCACGCAGGGTTCAACAGTTTGAGTTTTGTTGGATTGGGAGATTTTAGTCTACAGTTTTGAACATGTGCTTAGACTTTTGGTGATTCGGCCAAAGGTTTCACCTTTTGAGCGACTAAATTGTCTACAGACCGCCCATTTGTACAACAGATGACGATGTTGATACTGGTAGTAATTGGTATATAAGTTGATTGTATTGACAAACGTTTAGAATAGATATTAATCCGTTCGGAAGTTAAAACTTTTGTGTAGTATTACTACTTTTCACATTACCATACCATAATGACTGCTGTCCGCGAGCAACTTCTCAAATCCATGGATTCGGTTCATCTTGGAGTAACTCAAGAAGACAAACAAGCTGGCGTCGACTTTTACAAACAGTAGGTTTTGATACAGTAATAGATTTAAATGCATAGACTTGAAAATTAAAGTATTTTGAAACTATAAAAATTTTTGATTTTCTATATTACAATAATACAAAAAATTTTATAAAAATTACTGCTTAAAAAAGCTTTTTGTAATAACTTCTAGCTAAACTTAATTATCCTACTTAACCCTGTGTCCTCAAATGTCATTTTTAAAACTTCTAGCCTCTTCACCACCGCTCCCCAAGTGCGCCAGTACTTTAAAGGCGCCGAAAGTTACTCGGCCGACGATGTTCAAGCCAGTGAACGTTTCCACAAACTTGGTCGTCGCCTCATTTTGTCTCTCCATTTCATTGCTTCTAACGCTGACCATCCAGAAACCATCAAAGCCTACGCCAGAGAACAAGCCATCTTCCACCACCCCTTCAAAATGGACCCCGCCCTGTGGTCGGCCTTCCTCAGCATCTGGCTCGACTTTCTGACCCAAAAAGGATCGGCCGATCAAGCTACGAAGGATGCTTGGAACAATACTTGGCCTATTTATGCTAATGAATTGGTGGCTTATGACAAAACTCTCTAAGTGTTCAACGTGATGAATAATATAGCTTTATATTACCTACGAGTACGGTTTTAACTTTTTTTTATTTTTATAATAAAGATTTTGATGTTTAAACTTACTTTTGTTGACTTTTTCATACCTTTATGTATATATATAAAATTTATTTGTACTTAAAATTTTAATCAACAACCTTTTAAAAATTTATCAATTCAGAAAAAAGTTGGTACTTGATATTATCCATGCCAAATTCTTAATCATGTCCAATATTCACCCCGTTTCTATATCTCACACACTCATCAGCAAAGATTGTGCCAACTTGAATCCAATCCTGGTTAGCCTGTTGATCTTTGCCAAAATTGCCTTTAGGCAAGATGACTGGCTTTTTCTAATTCTAAAAAGATAATTATTTATTGTTATCAAACTATAATTTCAATCGATTTTGATACTATAGTTTTGGCCAAAAATGGTCGATATTGGGGTCGAGCGATATTTTTTGATAATTACCGCAAGTTTTGATGTAGCTCCTTTGTCATTAAACGATTCACGACTGTTCCTTTAAGCAACGACAGAAAACTATTTATAATTTAATTTTTTAATTGATTTTTAAAAATTTTTTCAAGCAATTTATTGGACTAAAACAGTGATGGCACACAATGTCGAGGCTGGGCTACAAACTGTATGCCTACCAGACTATTATACAAAGAAAATGGATCATTCGAATAAAACGAAAATATTGATTGCAACGAAATGTCAATTTTGCACTTTATTTTTTTAGAGCGCATTTTTGTGCTAGTTTATTATCTACCTTAAAAAGGCCATTGCTTCAAAGATGGTTGTAGGAGGTCTAACCATGTATCCCGACGTAAGCAATTTATTGAAAATTTTTTAAATACTTTATAATTACTACATTCACTGTCAATTGAAACGAACGACGTTTTGTACAATAATAAGCCTACTATACCATACCCTATCCCACTATATAAAGCTTTTATTGTTCCAAATTTAATTGTCCCGAATGTACTTTTTCTTTACTACAAATTATAAAAATAACTGTTTTTTAGTTTTGGCAACGAATTTTACAGTACACCGACCATATGGAAGATATTTGTAGTTTTTCCCAGATCAGTCGCTACTTTTACAGGCTAACAAACATGGACTTCCAGAAGTTGTGTTACAATAATATGATTTGTCGCTTCGAAGGCGAAACTTGGGCAACAGCTTTTTCAAAGTAATTTCAAAAGTTTCAAAATTTTAGGACGCTTTAAAACAACAACTCTTTTAGTCTAATTTTCACATTTAAAAACATAATTTGACCACAGTGTCAGAAAACTCTCGATTTCTTAAAATACTTAATTTCAGCGCCCGGTATCGTACAATAGACGGTATCCACAGTCAAAAACTAAAAAAGTACAGTAGAAATTCTATTTCTTGTCCTCACACGGGTACTGTGGCATTAATTTTACCACGAAAACAAGTTTTATTGACCCACATAGACTTTGAAAAAAAAGTTTTCGAACTTTTAGACTTTAGCCAATATAAAGAATGGATAGTTAATGTCCAGCTTATAAATAAGTCTACACAACTTCTACTAGACATGAATAAAACGTACGTTTTGTATGACTTGATAAACAAAAGGGAAGTAAAGACCTACTCTGCATTGCCTGAAGAACGTTACTACTCTTTCACATTATACTATAGCGATGGTACGTTGGTAGATTTGTATAACCAGAAGGAATACAAAGTCAAGGCAATAAAAATGCCAGACTGCGTTTCAATACGTACGGCAGATGTGTTTGGCTACAGAAAATACGTGGCCTTTGTGAATCCTGAAGGGAAGTTTGTGGTATGTCATAAAGAAACTGGAAGAATGCAGGTTATATTTCAATATCGTTATGCAATGCTATACGATGACATTTCGCTCTTAGACGATATAGATCATCTTAGAAGAATAAGTAAGCTAACAGTTTTAATATGTTTAAAACTAATTTCAGTCTAATACGATACTACAAGACTATACTTTTCAGACTCTGGAGAAGTTCAAGTTTACAACCTCAACAAAAATGAATGTATTTTTAAACAGCACAAGAAGTTTGCTATAAAAACTGGGCTTGATGGAATTTTTGTCAATACTGTAGGAAATACTAGTGTAAGCAATTATAGCGTAAGTTGTTTCCAATATGTCTGCAAAAGTATCTCATCTTTCAAATGATCTAAACTGCGCTTGTTTCCAAAATACCGGTATTTGAAACATGTTTTAGTTTGTCGGTTACAATCAGAAAACGCAAAAATATGAACTAATCGACCCAAATTTTAATTACTTAATACTGTCTACTAGTTCGTATTGTTTACAACTTGTACATTGTCATCTTCCAACGGTGACAATCCATAATTTACAGTATAACTACTCTAGACCCTATGCGACGCATTTAGAATGGTCTACTGGTAAGAAGCTTTAGGTTTATAAGATTAGGCTTTTCAGCCATTGCAGATCGCAAACTGACATTTAGTAAGATCTAAAATGTTCCTAAAAGCAAATTCTGTTAATTTTATGTTTCAGGTAGAATGATTAAAAAACGTTTCAAGCTTGATTTGTACGTAACCAACACTAAAATGACCGACTTTTACCTCAGTTCCAGTTGCATCAAAATACCTGAAAACGTAATCACAAACGATACAAGACGTCGAGTACGTAAACAATTTGAAAACTTTATAGATCAACTCTCCTCCAACATTACTGCTAAATTAAGTGAAAATATTATCTTTTCAAGTAAACCAATTGAAAAGATAAATGCTTAATAAGCTGACAACAACTACACTAGTAATTACAAGGTAGAAGCAATGATAGCAGCACAAGTTCAACCACCTTTAACGCTGACTATCCAGAAACCATCAAAGCCTACGCCAGAGAACAAGCCATCTTCTACCACCCCTTCAAAATTGACTTCGCACTGTGGTCGGCCTTCCTCAGCATCTGGCTCGACTTTTTGGTCCAGAAAGGATTTTATTATAAGCTATAAAAAATGCGTGGAACAACGCTTGACCTATTTATATTAAAGAATTGGTAGCTCATGACAAAACTCTCTAAGCGTTCAGCATGGTGAATAATATAGCTTTATATTTCCTACAAGTACCTTTTCCAGTTTTTTTTTAATTTTATAATAAAAGTTGTGGGTATTAAAATTAGTTTTAATAACTTTTTGATATCTTTTTACATAAAAGCTTTATTCAACTTGAACTTTACCGTAATCATTAAAAAAAGTAAAATTTAAAAAAGTTAAAAACGGATATTATCCATGCCAAATCCTCAATCATGTCCAATATTCACCTCTTTTCCATACCTCACACACTCATCAGCAAATACTGTGCCAACTTGAATCCAATCCTGTTTAGTCTGTTCATCCACATTCCCTCGGCTAGCCAAATAACCAAGCCAAACATCGAAGAAGGCTCTCCACAAAGCATGTTGCATTTTAAATGGCCGGTGACGAATAACCTGTTCTCTTGCATAAGCTTTGATGATATCAGGTTGATCAGCATTAGAGGCTAGAAAATGACATGCCAAAATGAGTCGTTTGCCTTGCTTTTCAAAACGTTCACTCTTCTGAACATCGTCGGCTGTGTATTTTTCAGCTCCTTTGAAGTATGAGCGGAGGTCGGGGAAGTTGGTGAAGAAGCTGGAATTATATGTATTTTGAAAGCTGATTTTAATTTAAAGGTAGGGAGTTGAAGATTCCTACTCTGCTCTATTATAATATTATTTATAAAAAAGCTTTTTGAAAAAAAATACGCGAGCCAGAAGGAGAGGGGCAGTGTTTCGAAGAGGTAGGCAACTCAGCAGACCTAATTTAAAAAAACTGGTGTGAGGTTTGGAGGAGCAGGACTTTGTAAAATAACAGTGAAGTTAAATGCCCGCCCTTCGGACATAACTATGTACAGGGTGTGCCAAAAGTCCGTTGACTCATTATTTTAGTCATATATTTATTAAAACAATCAATATACTTAAAACAACAACTAACAATAGTAACATATAGTACTAGTTATAACATAGTCCAGCCGTTTCGAAGTGGCCCTTCTTTGCCGCCATGCAGAGGCGTAAACGCTTCACAAAGTTTTAGGCGACGGGCCGCCGGTCCTGAGGCGTAAGTTTGTCCTACTCTTCGATCAATGCTTGTTTCAAAGACTCCAAAGTTTGGTGTCTTCTACAACACACCCTTGCCTACAATATCGATCAAATACTTTAATCCATCAAGTTGAGATCGGGGGAGTACGGAGGCCTTTCAGCTGAGGTGATAAAGTCCGGAAAATGGGTCCGACACCACTCCTGTGTTGTTTTGGCTTTATGGGCTGGCGCAGAGTCCTGTTGAAACGTCCATTTGGTGTTCCTGAAGTGTTTTAGGAACCAAGGCAGTACTACGACTTCCAGAATGTCTTTTTGGTACACTTCTTTATTGATTTTTACTCCTTTATCAACAAAATGAAAGGATTTTTGCCCGAGGCGCATACTCCTGCCCAAACCGTAATGCCCCGAGGGTGACGGTGTTCGACGATGGCCAAGTCTCTAGGAGGCTCTGTAGAGCAATGTCTGTCATTTTGATGGGTTATGTGCCTGTTCCAACGTGAATATCTTCTCATCCGAATGGGACAAACTTACGCCTCAGGACCTGCACCCCATTGCCTAAAACTTTGTGAAGCGTTTACGCCTCTGCATGGCGGCAAAGAAGGGCCACTTCGAAACCGCTTGACTATGTTATAACTATTACTATATGTTACTATTGTTAGTTGTTGTTTTAAGTATATTGATTGTTTTAATAAATATATGACTAAAATAATGAGTCAACGGACTTTTAGCACACCCTGTATTTGACATGACAGAACCGAAGACATGATCATGCTTATCTTTTTCTCATTTAACTTTTCATTTTGATCAAACCGATAAGCAAATAAACCTTTCGACTTACTATTTATAAAAATCCTTGCCACATTGTTCATTATCTGGTCCTACTGCAACATCATGCTCTTTCAGTGAGTTCAATAGGCGTTCTCGTACTTCAACCATTTTTCACGCCGCTTTGTTGTATCTTAAAACACTTCAAAATTTAAGTTTAGGTTTCAGTTAGTCATTTACCGCAAATTACAATAAGTCTCGACTAGTTTGCCACATATTAAGACACCATTACACACATAAAAAACTAAAAAAAATTTTTAAATAAAAAAAAACTCTGCCGTATAACGCAAATTTCTTGGCAGAAAGCCATAATGCAACACAACATTGTAGTAAGCAACAATCAGAGTTTATATAAGCGTTAAAAGGTAAAAGACCAAAGTTGAATGTAAGAGCCTTACGCAAAAATGATCGATCTGCTTGACACAGGAAACCGTGGTAATTCGTTGAAAGGTAAAATGACTGATATCAATATCAGGTTCGAAGGCTTTCATCACTTAAATTTTTGTTTTTCATGCGGTTCAAAAATATTACTTTAGATAGTAATTAAAATGGAAAAAATTTGAATTTTGGGTGTTTAAAAGTAAATTTTAGTATAGTATAGGACTTTTAAGGTTGAAGGTTGGCTACTTGAACTCTTTCAATAAGTATAATAAGAGAACAGTGAAATTTTTTTATTTATAGCCTTCGATAGTATGAGACTTTCTTTATAATGACAGCTTTCTGACAACCTTTGCAATAGAACTCCTACCAAAAATTAACTGAATAGTGTAACATTTTAATCATAATGGCACTTTGGGTCCAGTCCGTTGAGTGTCATACTATTTAAAGAAGTTTGACTGTAAACCAAGATTTACACTTTTGTTCAAAGAATATCAAAAAAATGCAAAAATTTTAATATTTCATATCACGCAATTTCGGAAAATAAGGAAGTAGAACCAAAATTACCTTATTACACCGTAAAATTCTGTATTTATCTACACGGGTGCAACTGAGCAAGACACATTTTTAATGGTTTTGAATAATAATAGCAAGAAGTACAATCATTATTTTTTTGTCAACGTAAAAAAGTACGAAATAAAAGTAAATGGAAAAGTAATTTAAACATAAACTAAATAGTAGTATTCAGGGCCGGGCGCGAGGGAGGGGGGGGAGGGGGGGGTACGCCCCCCCCAGAAAAAAATTTTTGCAAAAAGTTGAACGTGGTCCTCCCTGTGGATTTTTGTGAAACTCCTTTACAACAGTTCTGTGTAATAAGCAGCTTTTTAAACACTGTAACAATTCGTTATACAGGAGTTTCCTATATATGTACAAACTCAAATCTCAAACTCGTCTTTATGTACCTACATCAAAAAGTCTAAAAGTTCACACTCATCTCTATGTAGCTAAAATATAATCTATATATGTGTCTACAAAATAAAGACTAATTCAACAAAACTCTTTACCAAATTAAACTGTCTTTTTTATTGACTGTCTAGTGCGCTAATTATTGATGTACCTTCAAAAATTGACATCCATTAAAACATTGTTTTAATTGGCAATTAAAATTTGTAAACAGTTGCATGTTTTAGTAGTTAACACAAGGAAAACATTTTGTATAATGAGTTTAAAACAACTCAAAAGTGAGGATACTTTGACACGTTTAGATCTATAAATTAAAATCATCTATAACTATATAATATAACACACTGAAATTTCTTTAGCATAATTATATGGCATGGCAAAATGTTTATAACGACAGCTTTCTGACCGCCCTCTATTCAGAGTTTTGGCTATTGGGTCTGGTCCCGACCGGACAGTCCGGACAATTTTGAATTTATTTTTCCCGCCAAATTCGCTCATATCTCGAAAACTACTATAGATAGCAAAAAACTAACAGCATATAGAAGAGTCAGCACCATTCCAAATAGGGGGGGGGGGTTAAAAAAGTTTCAAACCGATCCGATCGGTAGAAAGGAAAAATAAATTCAAAAATTGGGACCGTCCGGTCCGGACCGAACCCAAAGGCAAAACTCTGTCCTCTATAATACAAATCTTACCAAAAGTACATGGATAGCATTTATAACAAATAAAATTTGAACTATTATATTAGTAGCCAGTCCCTTGAGTTTCCTACCAAAAAAGTCTGACTCTACTATTTTACAATATTTTTCAAATGTATAAAAAACATATTCCTACATCAAATTTATTCTTTTAGCTCTCATTTCATATCTTATCCAATAATAATATTGCTGTTACTCAATCACTGCTCTCTCTAATTGAACTTTGGCGAGTTAAACGTGCTGATCTTTGAGAGTTTTGACGAGATGACTTTCCGGTGGTACTCTTCTCTGACATTCTGGAGCTCTGACTTCTCTTTTTTGAGCTTTGTCTTGCCTTCTTTGATCCATTCTCACCTTTCTTTAATGCTTTTCTGCCTTTCTTCGATGATTTTCCTGACACCCTTGATCTTAAGTTAATTTTTCCAGAGTTTCGTCCAGGACAGACAACGACAGCTGAGCGAATGCGGTAGGAACTAAAGTCTTCTATTGGTACAATGATTCCAATGGGAGTAAAGAAATGGCCACAGGAAGCGTTGATTACAAAGATGAGGATGGTGAAGAAAGACACGCTGAAGTTATGATAAGGTCATTTTGAAAAATGCTTTTTTAAGTTATGTTAAGAGTCAAAACGTTATAAAATAGCATAAAAACCAAAAAAAGTAATAAAAGTGTTATTGTGGACTGCATTTTTACATTATACCTAAAATTTCAAATTTTGTTTTTTTTTAAATTTTATACTTAAAATTTCATTTTTAAGTTTAAAATGCCAAAAAAGGTAAATTTAACTTACACCAGCATCAGAGTGAATTGCCAATTGTAGGAGTTGCTGAAGAATGAATCACCATATCCAGCACTTGGACGTACGTAACTGACCTGAATAGGGCATTCTGTCAAACTTTGTTCAATTTCAATATCCCATGGTCTGCTTTGAAAAGCGGTGATAGGACAATTGTGACGAACATGGATAGTTTTATTTCCAGAATTAACAATAATAGTACCTTTTATGATACGGAGTGTTGGATCGGCCGGAATTGCAAAAGTTTTTTGGCCTTCTGATGATCTTACAGCTGGAAATTGTAGTAGTAAAAACAATTTTAAAATTTAATTATGGTTGACAAATTAATTTTTATACAATTTTTAAGTAATAGTAAGTAGTACTTCAATTTAGAATAAGCTTGTCAGATCAAAAGGAACTCACCGCTAACAATTTGTCTGTACGTTCTCCCTTCTTCGGTGAATATAGCAAAAGTGATAGCTCGGCAGTCGTCTATCCATACCGATACCTTTTTGCCTTTATCTCTAAAAAAATCATATAAGCCTTAAAAAATACTTACTTCACACACTGCAAGTCCGGTTGCAGCCCTAATTTGACTATACCATCAATATCACCAGTCGACGATCGAAAACGAAAGGGCACACTAGAGCACGTAACGATGAAGCGTCTGAAGATATAATAATAGAAAGCAATGCTTTAACACAATATAATATCTTAAAACTTTTATAAATATAAACTTAATTTGTTTGTCTTACAACAAAATTTTAAAAATAAAAAAAATTTAATAATGTTTAAAAAACATTAAAAATAATACATAGAAAAACATACTGAACTACCCTTGACTCGGGTAACATTGTTAAGCAATCCTTTTGTACACTCCGACCATCGACATGAACCAGTAGCAACACAATCCCGTAGATGAAGACGAACCAACCCGGCTTCATGATTAATATCGGCAGAAAATGAAAATTTTTTCTAATTGAAAATTTTTTTAAACTTTATTTAAATTTTTTTGATTTTTTTTTATTTTTATGCAAATTTTATAATGTTGGTGAAAGGCATAAACAACTTTAAAATCCCTAACCAATTTGTTATATATACGGGTTATACTGTATATTGATTACGACAAAATAGTTGACGAATATACTGTATGACACCGTTCTGACGTTAACTTTTGTTATTTTTAAACTCTACAAAACACTTTTAACAACGTATCCTTGTTACATGTGCAATTTCCGGCTCGCCAAACCAAAGCGGAAATGAGTAAAATATTCGAAAAAACGGAAATGATTGTTTTAAAAAGTGGCCTCAGTCTACAGTAAAACTATGTTGTGGCTTTTTATACGTTTTTATAAGCGATTTTTTGTAAGTTTTACAAGTTTAATATATTTTATGCAAATAAAATTTGCAATTAAAACACGTGTTTTAAGTTTTGATTCTTTTGAATTTATTGTGAGAGCAAAGAAAAGTGACTAAAGATAGGCAGGATGATCATACAGAACCGGGTGAGAGACTTTGAATTAGCTACGAGGATCTAGAAATTGTCAGAGCTAATACGGCGTAGCTTTTTCAAAAAAAAAATTTTTAATTTAAGATTGACCGAAGAGGAATAGAACTAAGTGCACCTTTTTTTTAAATTTTATTTTTTAAGAAAGTGATCTACTCTATCTTCTGCCTTCCTCCTCCCTTCTTCTTTGTTCTCTTCTTCAGGTCTTAATGACTACTTCTTATGTTTCACATTTATCTTTTTCATGGTTTTAGTTTGCAACCTTATAATGTCTTTTTGATAAGAATGTTTACACCCAAAAATAAATTTTTTGAAGGTTATAAAAATCTAAAATATTTGTTTTTCTAGTCCAAACAATTATTAAAAGTTATTAAATTCATAAGTAAAAAATTCCGTAGAAAGCGGATTCAGTCACCGTGACAGTAAAGCGATAGTGGGCGAGAAGAATGCGATTAAGGGTTAAGAAGATTGGGTATTGTGATTTAATTTTAGCTATTGGCATAATTGTGGGCGTCGCTCATCGAAAACCGCTTTTGATTGTAAAGCTATCGTATAAACAGTTTCGAATTAGTGATGATGCTACTTTAGTTGGTTGTAAAATTGAAAATTGTGGTTTGAGTCGAGAAACAACTAGTGGCTTAAGTGAGGGTTTATTGTAGTATTTTGTGGTTTATTTTCTTAATTTATAGCTTTCGTATGACTAGTACAGATCACTGGTACTTATTGCAAACATTTTTCTTAAAAAAATTTACAAAGTACGATAAAATACTAAAACATGGGCTTTTACTTTGTTTTATATTACAGTAGCCCCAGTAGTATAAGAAAACACTTTTAGACCTCTCAAGACTACAATAAACAACGCCTACTATTATTGAATCAAACAAAAACGTACGCTTTTGTATGCACTACAAGACAATAGTATGTGTCTGTTTTTGCAAATACTAATTCTTGTTTATAGTGCAACAACTAAAGTATAGAGAGCAGTGTAATCTCGCGTGTCATAATTGTGTTTTTTCTTAAAAGTTATGTCATTTTATTTTTTTCGAATTACAGCTTTTGAAATTGAAGTTTTGGAGTTTGTAATCGTTAAAAAGTGGCATTAAAGCAATAAATCTAATATTATGACAAATTAAATCGACTTTTTGGGTTTGCTTATTAATAGGGTAGGATAGGACAAGATAGCATAGGATAGAGTGAAGCATGGTAAGGCATGGTATCTTTAGGAATAAAATAAGTCAGGGGACCAAATATTTTAATTTCAGATTCTGCCTTTAAAATAAAAAAAAACATTTTTATTACCACCCCCTAAAAAATTTTTTTCAGATTTATGCTTGCAAGCCTAAAAAATGAATTTTTGCAATAATTTTACCTTCAAAATGACTAAACATTTAAAAAACCATTCCAAAAGCGTTGCTTTTAACCATGTTTAAATAGGCATAACAGATGTTATTTTTAACCTATGACAACGTCACTATATTGTATGTTCTTTTCAAGGAACAAAAACCTTTTTTTTTGGAATGAGCTTTGAAATATTTTCGAAATTTATTTCCGTTTGAATGCAGGTTGTATAAAGTGGGGCTGAAATGACGAGGATTGAGTAATTGAGGTAGGTGGAAGGGGTGAGTTGGTGAACAAGGTAGTTTTTTACTGTTACATAGGATAAACATCTATAAAAAGCTTGTGTAAACTAGTATTTAGTTTGCAATTGACGGCTAGATTTGAAAAAATTAAGATTAAAAAATCCAATTTTAAATTTTCCGTCAATTTGGCATTGTATTGCTCGCTTATAGCTTTATAGTTTTTTTAACTTTTACTGATTTTTCTTTGATATTGCAATAGAAAACCTTCCCTTTTAGATGAACCTGCGTATTTAAATATGCAAGCTTAACTTATCTATAAGATTAAAAAAGTTTTTGCAACACAATGCCAAAGCATTCAATTTTACGATAAATTTACATATTTGGTTTTTTAAACTTAATACCGGAGGCTATTATTTTTTATACCGGTTACTAATGCTACAATTAATTCACATATAAAACAAGGTCATCTTGTTGAATTGACAATTTTAAGTGTTCTGGCTTAACAATGGCGCGTGAAATTTTTAGTGCATTTTGGGAGTGTTTTTAGTGTTTATTGGGTTGATTTGTGGTTTTATTGGGTTGTTTTACATTATTGTTATTGTTAAAGAATATTTGGGTAGTTCTAGTTTTAATAGGCTAAAAATGCCATTTTTAGCACTTAGTAATTGTGTAGGCTTAACTTATCTATAAAATTAAAAAAGTTTTTGAAACACAATGCCAAAGCATTCAATTTTACGATAAATTTACATATTTGGTTTTTTAAACTTAATACCGGAGGCTATTATTTTTTATACCGGTTACTAATGCTACAATTAATTCACATATAAATTTTGAGCAGATTCTGAGAGTGCTAGGTTAAGTTGCAACTATTCACAGATGCCTGCTAGGATTGGCACCGGCCGCTTTATAGGACTTGTTGACATCTTTTTTTAGCAAATGATGATTTTTTTGCAAAATTTTTAAAAATGATGTGACCAAACTCTCCCCTCCTCTTTCTCTCCTCTGCCACAACAATGTTATGCAAAACTGCACCCACGTGTCCAATAAAAGCCATGACAATTCTTGTTCAAGGGGTTTGGGGGTTCGAAATTGAATTTGCACTTCTTTTTATCGCCTAACCCAATTCCTTATCGTCGATTAAACATCATGGCGTAGGTGGGACAAAGTCGTACGTGTATGGTATCTAAGCGACTTTGTTATGGGCAGGGAATTCCCGCTTCTTGCGTCAAAAAGAGGGTGTTTAGGAATAACAAGGTTTGTAGATTTTTGCATAAATTACAGTGAAATGGGGTCAAACGGATTAAATAGTCTGGAGGGAAGTTTTTTGGTTTTGGGGGGGGGGGGGGAATCTGCTTGAATTCTAGGCTCGGCCCGTTTCTTATTTTGCTAAAGCCAGGCTCGGCTCGTACTCTACGCCTAAGAGGAAGTGACTGGTACTACTCTATTTTTTGGTATTGTGGTTGCAAGAATGACCCTGCCTCATGGAGGTAATAGCGACATTGACCTCCTAAAAACCATGAAAGTGCAGTCCATTTCGTTTACTTTTTTTTTGGTTTTCTGCGGTTTCCGGCGACAAAACTTTTCGAATGCAATAAATTGTGAGAAAGTCGTTAAAATTGCTCGAGCCGTTCATCTTCCCCTTTTGACAGATGCGCACCGGAAGTGGGTGAACGTCGTAAAACGCGTACACGTCCTCTCCCCCCGCTTCCGTTTTTGCTACACCTTGTGGACGGCGATTTACAAAGTATTTTTTGTGGTTGAAATGTGGTTTTTTGTTGGTTACTGTAATTTTTTATTGTGTTTAGGTGGTTATCATGGAATGGTTTAGCTTATCGATATTTTTAGGAAAGGAGAAGAAATGTAGGGTAAACCATAACTTTGTGTAGGCAGTGAAAAGGACCGGGGGGAGGAGGGAGTAAATAGTAGAAAGGAAGGTAAGGTAGTTTAGGATAATGCACATTTTACTTTAAGTTACTGTAGAGTAATGGAAGCTTAAGATAAGGGCAGGGTAGGGTTATATACAACAGAGTACTATACTGTATACATTGCTCTGCTGTTTTTCTTGCAGTTACTTGGCTTTGTACATTGATGTCTTTACAAGTGAACATCTCAATTGTATTTTGATTATTCAAAACATTTGTATTTTCAATGATTGTCGTACGATAACTACGTCAATAAGTTTTTGCAAGAAAAGTGGATAAATTGCTATAGTAATTAACAAGGCAATATTGTTTGTACAATTGTCTACAATAACAGCTACAACAGTACTTATAAAAGATAACTACAAAATGCAACACAAAGTAAAGGTGAATATTGTTGTATGTTTACAACACAGTAATTAATATAAAACATAGCAATCACGTCGCTTAGTTGTAAAACAATGAAACTTTCACAGCTGTGGGAGGGTGAAAGTATTGTTATGACATTCCGAAAATATGTTTAATAGGACACTATAGAAAAGATAGATATGGTAGTATGGTATTTAAAAGTTTTTTTTCATAGTTTGGGTAAAATACTTTTTGTTTTGAATCTTTAACTTTTTAGATGGAAGCTGTATAATACAACAAGCCTATACACATGTTAGTTCATTCTGTTAAACTAAAATACAAAAAAGTTGGTATAAGTGTGAAATTACGGTATTTACATTATGTTATTACACCATAATACCTTGTTATGTCAATACACCGTGGCATTCAAAGTTCCATGTGAGTTTATTGTCACGATGCTTTTAATGAGACGATAAACACACGATTACAAACTATATCACGTCATTTGGCTAAATGTCGAAACTAGCGTGCCAAACGGTTGATTTACTTTTTTGCTTGGACTTGACTCGTTTTAAGGTATTAACCTCATT